TTGTCGTTGGTTCTTTTGGCTGAAGAGGAAAGTTACGGATAGGCCACTCCGACAACTTCTCTAGAACGCTTTGAATTGGCGTTAGAGATGATGTGGGCATAGTTTTATACTTTGGATGTTTTGGTTTATGGTCGAATGAAAAGATGACAGGTTTACCAAGCACCACCAAAACCACGCCTCCTTCAGATCTGGCAGATTCTGATTGGATCAGTAAAGCAATGCGTCATGTCTTAACGCTACGTGAGATCAGTCCTATTGGAAACATTTAAAGTCATATTACTTGTTATATTCTATAGGATTATAATAACGTAATTAATATTTTGATGTCACAGATTGGTCACATCTTATTATTGTCTAACACTTTGTTTCATTTACTTTATTAAAAATGGAGTTCTTTGATTTATTAAAAGGAGAGAGTCCTGTCTTCATTCTTCTCTTGAGCTGGAAAGAAAGCAGTTTATAGCAAATGCATGAGACCTTGAGGCCATATCTCATGCAGACTAGTTCTGTGTCAGAGGAGAGGGGGAAAATGACTGATGGTGGAAAACAGTCATTTCATTCTGTTACAGATGGCAGAAGGAAGTCAAAACACACTGGTACTGAATGACATGCTTAAAAAAGAGCATCTATTATCTTTAATTATGATCCCATGTGCTCTGTTATGTGATGTTTTTGGTTTCTTGGCACCTTTGCTCCTGCTTGGACATCCAGGCTCTTATAACAGCTCGTGTTTTCTTTAGCCCTTTTTATAAGACACACCATAATGGCAAATCAGCGTAATACTACGGCATTTGTGCTGCCACACTTGGTATTAATATTGCTGCAACGCCGGACTTGTGAATGCATATTACACCTTGGCTCAACAGAGGGTGGTGTCACGATCACGTGGGGAGTTACTGCTGAGCTCAGAACTGGAGTTTAGAACTGGAGCTCAAAAACAGACAGTTTACAGGGACCGAGTGACAGCCACCTGCCTCCGCTACCTAACTCCAGATAAGTGGAAGAGAATGGATGGATGGAGCGTAGCTTCGATTGCAATAAAAAGCAAGTTATGTCCAAGCTTAAACGGAAGTCCGCAGCAGCGCAGACACTGCCCCCATACCCCCATTATACCGCCATTGTGTAATTTTTTGTAAAAGGACACATTACTGCTACGGTCTGACCACTTCTAATTGACCTAAGGCTCCCTGATGCCAGCTCAGCATTGCAGCAAATTGGCGGCATTGTTTTCTAAAAGAGACTTTAGAGTAATGGCTCGATCACTAACCCTTCCTTCACACGTGTCCGAGAAGCGGCTTTCCTCACAGCTAAGGATGGGATTTGGTTATATTTTTGCCGTGTGTCACTTCTGGGACCTGTCACTTTCTTTAGTTAACATAGGGTTAGACAGAAAATGACATACGGTTTCAGCGTAAAACCCCTGGTAATTGTCAAAATATGCATCGATGCAATTTCAAAGCTATGTATATGACGTAAATACAAGTGACTTATTTACTCCCTGCACCATTCCAGACGTGCAACTGTGTGTTTTTCATGGCTTTAATCCTGGCAGGGTAGAGGAACAACAGCATTTATGACATCAAGTGTGATTCCTTCTTTTTGGTTTAATGGCGGATGGCATAAACTCAAGGGATCTTGGGATCTCGCAATTACAGTTTCAAAGCTGTTCCGCGGTCAAGACTCCCAGTGTGTACAGGTTCGCAGCAAGAGTCACGGTCGTTCTGCTGCTGTTACGCCTTGCTGATGCTTTCAGTGTGAAGTAGGGGTTACCCTGGCTTTCCACCCGATGCATAAGCAGTCTGCAAATGTCTGCAAAGCATGATATGCAGCTAATATCCACAGTTCTAGTCAACGGGTTATATACACCACCCAAAAAGCAATGCATCTTGTACGTGTCACTGAAGTGTAATGTCGATTTCAAAAGTCTGCAAAATTTACACTTATGGTCTATTTCTTACACGCTATGCTTCCAGAGTGCTGAGGTTGTGGAGAAAACACCTTTATTATGTTATGCACAGCTCATACATCCGGTGGAAAGCCCAGGGTTTGATTCAGTGTTGTTTTTCAGTTCAGTTGATCATTTTTCTACATAGGCCTGATGTAGACTGCTTTTTCAGTAGTCTATATTCTAGAATGATAAAACTTGTGTTGGTTGTATATAGTCAATTAGTTTTATCACTTTTAAACAGCTAAACTGCCACCTGCTGTCACAAATTGATGTCTGCAGCCTCCTTTAAAATGTGAACTCTTATTAGTGTTTCACAAGTCAATCAGCAACTGTGGGAAATAATAGTGATCTTCGTGATTTAGAATTTTTCTCCTTTCTTGTTGAGTAATCCTAGTTAGGATATCGTTACACACACAACTTCAGACCGAAGATGTTAAATTAAACAAAAATCAGAAATTGACCTGGGCAATTAGTAAAATTTGTAGCAGAAAATTAGTTTACGGGTTCTTTTTCAGTTATTAGTACTTTAATACTTTAGTTTTATTCTTTCTGCATTTGCATTGTATATAATGAAAGTTTTGCAAGCATGTCTGTGTGCGTTGGCTCTGTGGGAGGCATTTGGAGGTGTTTGAATACATTAACATATCTGTTGGAACTGATCCCCGGGTGATTAAAATAACGCTTTATCCCAAACTTTAGTTTTGTTTCAAAGTGAGTAATGTGACAAAAATGTGACTCATTTGAGAAAACAGAAGTATTACAAGCCAGATTAAAGCTATTTTCGATCAGTGATAATAGATTTTTTATGTAAAAAACAACTCTTAACTCAATCTGTTATTGTCTTTTTTGGGGGGTTTGCTTTTTTTCATGAAGCCCACATTTTAAAACTATGTCATCCTTAAAAATGATCTTTTTGCTTTAGTCAATTGGTTTGATTAACATACCAGAATTTGTAGCAAACCCCTTCATCCCAGCTTTTTAAATCATATTTTTGCTAAATAACTTGTTCACTTCCAAGAGCAGCTTGTTGTTATGTGAATAAATACAAATTATTTAAATCTATCCTCTGTTTTCATTTTGGAGAGTTGACATCAAATTCTTCAGGTGTTCTGTGCACAGAAGCTGCAGCAACCATCATACCCGTAAGGCTGAAGAGAGAATTCAATGTTCCCCAGGCTGGAGGATGACGCAGGGGACACTTTTTGCTTATTTGATGAGGCAACTCTTTGCTCTTGTGTTTCCTCTCGTTTCTTCACTGATTAACTTTGACAGATGCGTTAGCTGATTGCACAAATAGTTGCTGCCGGTAGATAATTTGATTTAATTGACCTGTAATTAAGAACTCCATTAACAATTTTAATTTGTGCATGACTGAGCCAGGACAAGATTATTAATCAGTATGCAGAAAGAAGTACATATCTGTTCTAGTTTTAATGCATTGAAGCTTTTAGACATATCAACCTTTTATACTGTTTTCACTACACAAGTGCTGCCGGGTCCTAGTGCTAGACAAACAAACCACATTTACCAATTGAGAAAACACGGTTGGACGTCAATTAAAAGCAACCCTATTCATATTCGGTCATCATTTGTCACTACTTTTTACATACCGCCTGCCTCTGGTCAAAAATCTTTATCGTCCATGTTTGGGTTCTATTTGGTTGAGGCGTTTGGCTGGACTCCTTAATTTACATCACTGTTTCCTGGATAACTCGACATGTGAGAGCATTGCCAGTATTTGCTCGTTATTTTCGGATGTAGGACCTTTCCCACTGACAATTGTATGGAACAAAATTCGTGCACCCCTTGATCTACTCCATGCTGTGAAAATCCGCTCATCCACCTAAATACTGCCTCCTCTTTGCTTCGTTTGTCTTTAGCTTGGCCCGTTTGCCTTTCCAGCTGTTTCATGTGATTGCGGACCTTACTCAGCTTTGGAAAATGGATAAAAAATGTCTGCTGTGACATCTGATCTGGGTATCTAGAGTCCGATTGGCACCACCCCTAACAGCGGTGCTTAGCTCATTCCTGTTTAAACATCTTTAGGAGACCAAAATACAACTTTAAGACAAGCAGACCCGAACCCATAGGCACCCATGCAAAGTATGTGCTTGTCTAGGGCTACATCCCACAATGCATTGCGACCTTGCATCCCAATCCATTTTTAGCTGTAGAATACACTATTACAATTACCATAAAACATCGGAAGGCAGTACACTCCAATCATAAGTAATGGATTTGTGAGAATGAAGCAATGGACAGGGAGAGAGTCAAATATTCAAAAACTAGCTAAAAACGAAGTAAAGTAAAATGTGGCTTTGAAATTCCTAAGCTGCAACTGTTAACACCCAGTTCTAGGAAAGTGGGTGGCACTGTGAGATCTGCATTTCTTATGGTTCATAATATTTATTTATTTTAGGTTTTTTAAAGCTTCACCTGGTGGTGGTGTTCGACATCAACCTTATAATCCCAAATGGTGTTTTCTAGTGTTTTTATTAGTATTCCCTGTAAAAACCTATCTAGAGTCCAATGTCTTATTGGTATTTAATTACATAACTGTTTAACATTAGCTCATGATACTATTTACTATTATTTCATGTTTCAGGCTTTACAAGGGTTTTTAGTTTTTGGTACAATCATAGTTTTGGTTGTAAGCCATTTTCTTCTTGTGGGACAGCTGTAGCTCAGGAGGTAGAGCGGGATGTCCAGTAATCAGAAGGTTGCAGGTTTGATCCCGGCTCTGACCAAAGAATGCTGCTGTTGTTTCCTTGAGCAAGACACTTAACCCGCCTTGCCTGCTGCTGGTGGTGGTCGGAGGGACCGGTGGCGTCGGTGTTCGGCAGGCCTCGCTTCTTTCAGTGCACCCCAGGGCAGCTGTGGCTACATCGTAGCTAATCCCCACCAGTGTGTGAATGACTATTGTGTTGTGGAGCGCCTTGGAGGGCTGTAGAGCCCTGGAAGGCGCTATACAAATACAGACCATTTACCATTCTTCCAGCTTGTTGAAGCTCATGGATAATCCACCTTAACTAATAATCTGTTCTGTTTCTAGTTAATAGGTGGTTTTGTCCTGGCTATCGGCATCTATGCAGAGGTGGAGAGACAGCGCTACAAGACCCTGGAAGGAAAGTTCCTGGCTCCGGCTATAATCCTGATCCTGCTGGGAATTGTCATGTTTATCGTCTCGCTTGTTGGAGTCTTGGGTGCACTGAGAGATAATCTTGCCCTGCTGAATGCGGTGAGCGTTTGGCATCTTTTATGTTCCTACTTTGAGTTTCAAAGACTTATCTGAATTTCTGGGTCATTTAAAAAACATTAGAGCACAATTTTTAAAATAATTTCATATTTCTGCACAGTGCTTTGCATTTGATACTTTATTTTTAGAAGTTGGGTGCACATTTTTTATCCATCTGTAGTTAAATTAACTTAGCACTATCTTTTAATTATGACCAATAAGGTGTGATGATTCCATATGAATATGAAATGTCAACCTGATTGATCTTTGATTGTTTAATCAGAAGATTATACCGTAGTTACTTTTACTTGTTCAGGGACCACAAACACACTTCATATTAGGGCTGCAACAACGAATCGATGAATTCGATGAAAATCGATTACTAAAAGCGTTGGCAACGAATTGCGTCATCGATTCGTTGTGTCGCACAACTCTTCCAAAAGCGCCCACCCCCACCCCCCCACCCCTTCCCGCCCACCGTTGCGCGCAGACCAGAGCAAGTCAGATCAGCGCGAGGGAGAGCCGCAGATCATCGCGAGGGAGAGCCGGCAGACTTGCGCTGCTGCGAACCGGTTCCGCATTGTTGCACAGCGATCCAGGCAGCTGCTTCCAGCGCACGGTCCATTGTCAAAGTGGCGCAACCAAAAAACTATAATTAGCACACGATCGTTCTTGTCTGCACATGTTCTCTATTTTCTGTCTTATTTGTGCCTGAAGCGCTCTGCTGCGGAGCTCATCACCTGTGCTGTGGTGATTTCACCTCACGCAGCATCGAAAACGCGCTCTCCGCTTTGCGGTCAGGAGATCTCTTTGATCTGCTCAAAAGTAACTGATGAGGTGAAAAAGTAAGAATCCAGGCAACAGATTTTCTGGAGAATTATGAGGAGATGCAGGAAGATGAGAGACAGACAGGACAGGAAAATAGTTAAATAAAAACAAGAAAACAAAGTAAAATGTAGGTAGATTTATCTCCACTACACGTTTTTACCAGTAAAAAACAATAAGTTATACACATGTCATAGTTATACATCTGATACAATTCAGATCACCTTCAAAACTCAGTCACACACCCAGGGCCGTTTCAAGACATTTTGGGGGCCAAGGCAAAATGTCTTCCCCCCCCCCCCCCCCCCACCCCCCCCCCCCCCATAACTGGGCTCCCCAGAAGCCTCTGTGTAATTCATGCCCTCTCCAGGAGTATTAGTTATACAGTGTTTGTAAAGGCCCCTCAGACATTACTGACATGTTCTAATATATCAGATGAAAAACTAAATTATCAGACATGCTGTCTCATCTGCTTCTTTTCTAAACTTGCAAAAAGTAACAAAACCATTTGAAAGCCACTATTTGTGGATTATCTGAAAGTTTCCATGGAGTGTGTGACAACTTATTTTATCATTGATCCTATCGTCTAATCTCACAGCTGAAAAAAGCATCCTTAATAATCTGTAAACAGGAAGCTTACCGATGCTGTAGTAAAACAAAAGGTATAATAATTTATTATTAATAAAACCTTGTTGCAGCACTAAAGCATAAAAATGAGATTTTGCATTAAATATGCAAAATATTTACATATGAATAGTTTTAGAGCCCTTTTATTGGCAGAATCTGATATTAATTTAGTTCTTACAAAAAATGGGTCCCAACATGGTTTGTGTGGTGTTGCCATAGTGTGACATCATAGGCACAGATCCCCTGTCCTCTTGTTTGGAAATGGAAATATGATCACCCTACATTAAACAAACTGTCCACCCGGGCTTTTGCGCTGCACAGAGACGCTTTGCTGCCTATGACTTCGAATGTCAGTTGAGAGTCAGTCTCATGCAGACTGACCAATGAAGAGAGGGCCTCAAGTTAAGACCCTCTCCTCATTGGTCAGTCCACACGAGGTGGGTCAAAGGTTACTCTGGGCGGGTTACGTGTTGTCAGGCATTCAAGTATTGAGTATATTTACTGCATATTACAGTAAAATATTCTGTATGTGACCACATTATGGTGATCCTCGGGTCGTGATGATGGAGCCCTTGAATATTGTTGCCCAGGGTACAACAAAGTGTTAATCTGGCCCTGGTTCCGCCGTCACATTCCCGCAGAAACTGGTTGATCACACCGGGGCCAGACTACTAGCATGTGGTTTTACAACCACAATGTCCTCGGAAGCAAAAACGCTTTTAAAAGGGAGGGAGGAGTCCTAACTGTTGCTGCAGGCGTGTTGTGTGAGAGTGCAGTTATATACTGGTTAATATATTTTTGGGTTCAGTTGCTTTCATGTGGCCTAATGTGAGTCTATTTGGGATCATTGGAATGATCAGCAGCATTTCTTGATGTGACTTTATGGCAGTTGCCCAGGGCATCATCGCAAGGAGAATGGCATTCATTTATTTTTGTTTTATTTGGTATTTTTTCAGTCATTTTTGGAAATAGTGATCAATTTTGATTAATTCACAGCCTATGTTTAATTACATTTAAAATAAATGTCAACAGATGAGATCAAACAAAACAGATGAGAATTGCCCTTAACTTGGACCAAGCATTTTAGGTCACAGATAGATGTAGCTTAGGGTCTCTGTCTATACACCTTATAAGACAATTTAGGTGATGGCATGTTGTTTTTCTGCTATTGAACTGTTTTCTAATAATGTTGTGTTAAATAAAGTGAAGGAAGGAGAGAAATAACGTTTCCCTAGCAGTTTTTAAAAATTTCCCCATGTAATCCGATTAATCGATTAATCGTGTCGAGACCCCATCCGATTAATCGATTATCCAAATAATCGTTTGTTGCAGCCCTACTTCATATTAATTCAGACAGTCGGGTATAAGGTTTAGAAAATTAATTTAATTATTTTTCCTAAACTAATGATTATACATGACAAGATATGAATAATGAGATGTGATGTAATGGGTGTGAGGTGGTGTGATGGAAGCTAGATGTTTTCGCAAAACCATTCTTTGTATCTGAGAGAATTTGTGAAGTCTGGGTTGTAAAATAATTTAGATGTTTGTTTGATGAGCTAAGGATTGTTTATAAAGTCATCCGACGCAATCTATTGAGTCTACAATACCCTTTGTGTAGAGACCCCCCAGCAGATCCAGACTGTCAGAAGTCGGGGTGGACATCAACCTCAAGGTATCCGGAGCCGGTAGATTAGCTCTGATACGACCCATCTGGTCTTGAGATATCTCCAGGTCACAACTGTAAGCTGGAAGGCTCGTTTGCGTCCAAGGTTGATGTTTGGCTCTTAAAAGAGCCGTTTGGGCTGTGTCCGCTTGCAGCGTGCAAATAAAGTTAAAGTTAAAGTCCCATTAGTTGTCACACACACAGGTGTGTGTGCGAAATTTATTCTTCGCATTTGACCCATCCCCTGGGGGAGCGGTGAGCCGCGCTCGGGAACCATTTGGTGGTTTAACCCCCCAATCCAACCCCTTAATGCTGAGTGTCAAGCAGGGAGGCATTGGGTCCCATGTAAGTCTTTGGTATGACCCGACTAGGAGTCGAACCCCTGATCTCCCAGTCTCAGGATGGACACTCTACCACCAGGCCACTGAGAAAATAGGCTTTTGACTGGATGTCAAAAGAGATGGTTTCAAAAATGCTTGTTCCCGAATCGGCCGGTTCGAGAGTCAGCTAGAAACTGAATTAATCGGGAAGTAATTCTTGTTTTAATAAACTCATTGTTTATAAAATCTGGCGCATTCTGGGAAATCAGAATGTGCCATGTCTTGAGGGCTTACCAAAACATTCCTCAGAAGACACTAGGGCTGAAACGATTCCTCGAGTACCTCGAATAATTCGAGTACAAAAAATCCTCGAGTCAAATTCTCTGCCTCGAGGATTCGTTTAATTCATATTTAATTAATTCATGGCTTTGCAGTCGCCCGTGGTCATGTTTCACCCGGACTGAAATAAGTGACGCACATGCCCACTGGACTGAATCGCACACGCGAGTAGGGAATGTAACTTAACTTTATCTTAAAGAGCAAGTCACCCCCAAATAAACTTTTTTTTGCTGATAAACTAAATAAACGAGTGTCTAATCGTGCTGCAGATTCGTGTCATCAATAAGTTTGCACTTCAGTGCATCTTAGTTAAAATTTAAATATTCTGCCTAAAACTGGCAGTTGTGCCGTTGTCAGGTAAAAACTCTGCACTGTATTCTAATTTAAATCTGCCACTGCTATTGGCTAAGAAGTATGCTATGATGTTAGATGGTACATTATGATGTCACAATGTCTTGAGTGTGTGTATTTGTTAGAGGCTCCGCCCTCTCAGTCTGCTAGGCAACAGCATTTGTTGCATTTTTCAAACAGGAAGTGGGAGTTACATAAGAATCTGGCAGGGGTTGACTTGCTCTTTAAGCTATGGCGGACAACGTGGATCCCGGTGGAGTGCGAAAAAGACAGAAAATGTCAAGATGTGGGACCATTTTTCACGTCGTAAGGTGGAAAACGTAGTCCAGTGAAAATACTATAAAATGGATTTAGCCTACCACAACACCACATCCTCCGTGCTGCAGCACCTGTAAATGTCACTTCTGCAAGCGGACTCGGAGCCTCTACAAGATAATGCATTTTAGCCTGTATTTCTATATATTCTGCGGACACTGCGACTTTTTCGTTTGTAGCACTTAGTTTCAGCTCACACCGTACGTCTGGTAGCAACACGTCGGACTTAAAATGTGCTAAAAATAGCATTTTTACACAAAACGTCGGACTTTTTATTGTGTTGTTATTGATATTTGTTGTCCCTCGGGATTGCTGCAGGATTACTGGTATTTATGAGAGGAAAACGAAAGAAAGTAAATAAATGTTTTGTGATCAGTATAATTTGACAAAACCACGGCAAACATGCTTTCTCGACAATCCTTGTTATTGTGTGAGAAAAAAAGTGTTGAAATTAAAACGGACGTGTGTTAATAGGGAAACAGCCGGCGAGCTGTTTGCGCATGCGCCGTGAGCGGTTCTGGTTCTGTTTGGGCCGCAGCCGCCCGCAGCGCTACTTCAACAGTTATCCTCTGGCTTGCAGGCTAGCAGATTCTCGCACGAGGGGAAAATCGGCTCAGGTTGTTTACTTATTTTTTGCACAGGCATTTGTTTACTGTGAAGTAAAGTTGAAGTGCTGAAGTTTTGCAAACTAATTTTGAATAAAACTTGAAGAATAACTGGCAACTGCTTGCTCATTTTAAGAGGTCTTTCATAATTATAACATGCTATTTGATATAATGGTTTACAAACACAAAGGGGTAATTTATTAGAGTACTCGATTAATCGAAAAAAATATTCGATAGAGTACTCGATTACAAAAATATTCGATAGCTGCAGCCCTAGAAGACACGCCTTGTCCAGATACAAAAGGTTTTAACACTTTGTGAATGAGAATGTTTAAAATTCTTATGTGAGGTGAATATAAACATTAATACGCATCTTATTATAATATATATTAGTGTAAACATTGATAAACTTGTTAAATCAACACATAATGATCTGGTGTAGATGAGATCTGAAATGGGTCATTGTAAGGACAATATTCATTTTAAATTCATTGATTTAAGCACAGATTATTCAAACATTTGATTTAACCCTTACCTCACATTAGAGCATTTTTTGTGCTCTAATGACTTTAACGTTAGAAAATTTAAACGTTGGGTAAGGGTTAAACATCTTGTTCATTCATCACATATGATTATTTAAGCTTATGAGTTGTAAAGTCATGCAGGCTTCAAGTAGGTTCATTTTAATCAGAGTGAAGGATGTTGAAGTCTGACTTTACCCAGAGATTGCAGGACCATTGCAGGAGACCTTGAGTGAGACTGTCTCCTTTGAGGAACAATAATTGTGGCAAAGGGTTGTTTTGGGAGTCTGGGCACAGATAGACAGTGTTGATCTGTCTGTACATGAAAGGTTATCTTGTGTCAATTAGATGGTGACTATTGACCACATGGATACGTAACACATCCAACCAGCTTGTGTCATCACTGCAGCCAAATAAATCAATCTGTGTCTTCTCTGATGAGCAAAGATTTTGTAGCTTATTATTTCTTTTTGGTTGTCCTTGCAAACCCTCCTAACAAATCAAATGGCCAAAACTGAACGGGAAACCAAAGGTGTTGCATTTTTAGGCTGCTCCCCAAACTCCCCAACATAAAGGTGGCCCATTTTTACCCCGATCATGTTGTGGCCCATTTTTACCGCGATCAGAACTTTCTCTGTGTGGGGTCTTTTTTACTGAAAAGGGGACATTGCTTGCTGTGTGTGTGTGTGTGTGTGTGTGTGTGTGTGTGTGTGTGTGTGTGTGTGTGTGTGTGTGTGTGTGTGTGTGTGTGTGTGTGTGTGTGTGTGTGTGTGTGTGTGTGTGTGTGTGTGTGTGTGTGTGTGTGTGTGTGTGTGTGTGTGTGTGTGTGTGTGTGTTCTTGTACTTACTACATACTGAGGACCATTTTGACCATTTTCCCTACAGAGTGACATTTTTTTGGTCCTCACTTTTTTAGAAGCATACCAGAAGCTTACCATACCAGTTAGAGGTATAGTGTGAATTAAGTTAGTTAAGGTTAGGGTTAGGAATAGATCAGCGTTGGTTATGGTTAGGGTTGGGGTATGGGTTAGGCATGGTGAAATCACAAAAATGAATGGAAGTCAATGGAGGGTCCTCACTCTGATAAAAAGACAGACTGTGTGTGTGTGTGTGTGTGTGTGTGTGTGTGTGTGTGTGTGTGTGTGTGTGTGTGTGTGTGTTTCGCAGCAGGGGAAAAGAAGCTATGCCATCAATCTGGCACCCTGTCTTCAAATGGTTCTGCCCTACACTAATGACAGTTTGGCCAGTTGGTTGCATCATTTAGGAGACGGGTCTAGTAAGGATAGATGATGTGATGGATGCTCTGCAGAAAAAGAAAAAGAAAGTGCAAAGACATGATGGAGAGGCAGATTGCGACGAGACGTTATTGCCCATACGTGTTGCAAGAAATAACTTCCTCTAACAGCTTTGAATCATTTAAGAGAGCAAAGTTTTTGTTCAGTCTTTAGATAAAACTTCTCAGAATGTTTACACTAAGTTTAGTTTGGTAGGAAGACTCTAAATAAGTTTTCAGAGAAAAAGTATATTTTTGACATATATGTGCGTACGAATAGTTTAGCTAAATTATCAACTGAACAGCAACTTGTAGTCTTATAAACATTTATATTTTTTCAATAATAAAAGTAGTAATGATATTGATAAATATTATTCAAGTTTTAGAAAAGGGATTCATTGATAACAGATGTTAACAGGTGTTTATCTCAGTGAAATTCAGTTTTTTAGTGCAGATGTGAACTCTTAAGGGGAAACCAGAACAACCGTATTCAGAGGAAGATGTTAGCTGACCTCAATCTGACAGAACTACCAGATCTATACAGCTCTGAGTCAAACTCCATCCTATAGCCTTGTATGTTTGCATTCTGGGATGGGATGCTGATATTTGAGTGAATTCTTCTGGCCCCACATGAATATGTAGATGCCCCATTTGGCAATGGAGAGTGTAACTATGTTGCTGCCATAATGATGTGCTCCTCACTCTCCAAACTCAACTGGAGTCACTGAGTCTTTGTACAGCCCTTGGCTGCAACAACTGGCACACTATTGAAAACAAATCACTTGGATTACTATTGACTTTTTTAGCTTACCTGATTTTATATTTTTCTTTATTTTATTATAATATATTTAGATTTTCATTATCATGCCATACCAAATGTCTGATTTGGTGAAAAAGCATAATGAAATGTGTTTTTTAGTTGAGTAAACACCTTCCTCAGTAGACATAAATACACTGGGGGCAAATGGGAACCCATTCAAGATGGCAGCCCGCTGCTACCCCAGCTCCAATAGGCAGTGCTGGTACAAGGGTGTCTACGTATATGATGTCTGTGGTGGGTCAGCTCATGCACATAAAACGGCACCTTCTGAGAGCGTTTACCTCTGCTAGTCCCATTACTTTCTCCACAGAGCAGCTTCACCTCAGGGATGCTTATGGAGAACAAGACTCGATTCACATCCTTCCCTTTAGCCGCTTTTGTTGTATTAGTCTCAGGGCTTTGATTTGGTCTTTTCAGACCATTTTCATCCTCTGATACAACAACTTGTGTGCTTTGGGTTGTTGTCTCTCTGCATGACCCACTTTCTCTTGAGATTCGGTTCACTATGAAGTCCTGATATTTCTCAATTCATTTCACATTCATAGTGATGGCTCTAGGAAAACCGCCTCGGGTGTCTGCATGCCAGCAAAAACAACAGGTTTCATTTGAAGCAGGAAACATGGAGGAATAGGGGGAAGGGATAATTCTAACAGGTGCATGTGGGTTTGGTTTGGTTAAAAAATTTAAATATAAGGATAGTTTTAAACAAAGTTAAAATCAATGAGAATTCATTCATTTTATTTATAATGTACCTCCTTCTGTACACATGATTGTACATGTAGTACCAAAATACTTAATATTGAATGTGATCAAATCTACAGTAATGTGATAGTTAAACATCCTAAAATTGCACAATTTTATTGAATTTTTCATAAATGTTTGTAAAATCTATAAGTGTTTAATGTCTCTGCTGTGTGTTTTGTCCCAGTTCATGTATACTTTGACAGTTTGTCTGATTCTGGAGCTGCTGGGAGGAGTCCTAGCTCTGGCGTTTCGTAACCAGGTGAGATGCATGAAGTCTTAGTTATCAGTCAGAAATGTACTTGTACGGGGTTCTTGTTGCAGGAAATGGGATGATGAGCTAATTTTATTCAGCAGCAAATGATCATCAGTAACTTCTTCTGTCACGTCTTAGTGAGACTATTTCCTCTTTGTCCTTTTGCACGTTTAACGTCCTTTTTTTTGTGTTGCATCCTGTCTCCAGCTTCACTTGTTCATCTCGTGTTTTCACTGCAGTCAGTGTATTTATTCATCCTGCGATGTGAATACAAATTATTTACAACCACTACTTAAGAATGCAAATTCTATCAAAACACATTGCTTTTATGTTGGACTGTTTGATATTTGACCGACAAAAAGCGACTGAGGTGATTCGTTTCTTATTTTGGCATCAGATGAAAACTTTTTAATGTCTGTAAAACATTTTGGAATCTACAGAAAATGATCAGTTTTTATTTATTTAAGATTTAAGATGTTCTTTTCTGAAGTGGTAAAAGAATAGTTTTATTATTGCTTTAAAGTCAATTATCTTTCTTCTGAGATTTCCTTTTTTAAGTCAGACTTTTTTAAAAGTTTTCACCTGAAGGGCAAATATTTCTTCCCCTCTCCTTTTAATCAAAAATCCAGTTACCATGACTTTTACTTTGGCGATGATAAAAGCAAGCCATGGATTAAACGTTTCCATTTCTCTCAGACAAAAGGAAACTCCAGCGGCTCCATATGTTTATGTTAGAATAAAAAAAAATATGTGAATGGGTCACAGTCAAATTGTTGGTAATTTGGCAGTTTAAGTCCAGATTTCTGTAGCTTCACAGAAAATTCCCAAATACCAGCTCTCTAAATGTGCACATTTTAAATGTGTCACGCTCTATGGTGAAGAGATTAAATGTTGAAGAAAGGATAGAAGAGATGAAACTTTTAGTTGCTTTGATGTCGACATGCTCCCAGGGGAGACGTAGTTCATCAGCCAAAAGAGAAAAGTCGCCGTTAAAGACCAGAAGAAGATGTTTCAGCACACTTTGAGCGAGTGAGCGTCCTTTTGCTGTCACAGTGACAGATGCTCTCTGCTGACAACGTTTCTTTACTCTCAGTAAACAATATTATTGGTTTTTGACAGTTCAGATGCCTTGAATAAACTCTCAAACTCTCATTTGAAAGTCAAAAACAGACATGAAAGTAATGTGACCCCCCCCCTCCTGCACCAGATTGTGACTGACAGATGTGAGCGGTCTAAGTGTCACATCTTAATATTCGGTCACCTTCACCAATCCTTTCCCCAGCTGCCTGATAGTGGTTCATCTGTGTCACAACAAATCTGACAACATGACCCCATCCACATCAGTAACTGGCCTGTGTATAACCCCCCAAGGCACTTTACAACACAGTTATTCACTCAAACACACACACATTCACACCTTGGTGGTGATGAGCTATAGCCAGAGCTTCCCTAGGGTGCAAGGCTGCCGCACACTGGCACCAACAGTCCCTCTGACCCCCACCAGCAGGCAAGGAGGGTTAAGTGTCTTGCCCAAAGACATGGCAGTGATGGATTGAGAGAGACTCGAATCCTTAACCTTCTGATTAATTCAGTTTATTTATATAGCGCCAAATCACGACGAGTTATCTCAAGGCACTTCACATAGTACAACATTCCTAAATTCTGTTCATTCTGCCAATTAGTTAAGAGTTTCCTATAGGCTATAAGGAACCCAGCAGATAGTATTGAGTCACTGACATGTGCCAGTGACTTTCCTGCAATCCCCATCAGGGGCGTCGGACTGGGGGGGGAAAGGGTACCGTTTACCCAGGGCCCACTGCAGGGAGGGGCCCTGGGTCAGCTTTGAATAAAAATGTTTTATTGTTGTTGTTTTTTCCCCCCAACTTACTTAATGTCTTAATAAACTTCCCTTTACCTGGATAAAGAGGTTAAGAAACAGAATTTCGCCTTAAAAATAATAACTGAATAATCTCTGAGGCATCTATCACCCCTTAAAAATGTGCAAAGTGATTTAGTCCACACCTGCGGCCAGGGCTGCACGGCCGCATGTACAGCTATGAGACATCGCAGATGCCGACAGACAGAGCTGGAGGCAGGAGAGTCAGTCATGTCTTTTCCCAAGAAAGGCAAATCTGGCTTCCAGAAAAGAAAAGAAAAGAAAAGAAGGAGGAAAAGTTAATTGAACAGAAGCAAGTAGAAGGAAGGTGAGAAGCAGCAGAACACAGTTTTAGCTGATATTAGCTAGCTCTCAGAAGCTGCATTCATGTTAGGTGTTCAGTGTTAAACGCCTTTAGTTTCACCATCAAGATCAAATATAAATTAATTAGTGTTATCAGTGAAAACACTAATTAATTTATATATATGTTTTATTTTAATAATACTCAAAATAAAGTTATTCAAAAGAGTTTCATTAGATCTTGAGTACATTGCTCATAATTACTGATTCAGCTTATTTGTGCATATGTAATGACTAAACATAATGTTGGTAAAATGCTTTATTAAAATGCTATTATACATGTTGTACAAGTTTGTATTCATTTTTTCACAGTTAGCACTTTTTTATCTACTGTGATGAACCGTACAGTTTTATTGAAAATTTCTTTTTATTTAGTTGCTATAGAAGCCAGAAAATACTTTAAAATGGATATTACAACTCGAGTTTAGGGCAACTTGTAGGACTTAAAGTTATTAAATATGCTTATATTAGAGCAGTGTGTTGCCTTACTACATCAAAGTTATTGCTATAGTATATTATAGTAATGTATATGGTCTAAATGTGTTCTACAGTGTGTTAGGACTGTCGTGTTCCTGTAATGTAGAACAGTCACAGGTGTTAGTCTTCCTACAAATGCTCGTAAAAATATAAATAGGCTACTTTGTGAAGGAGTTAGGACATAATATATAAAATAATATATAATATTATTCAATAATTACCACAAATCGCCAGGGGAAATGTGATTATATTAAATTTTTGTGATTTGTCCCACCATACTAGTGATGTGTCGGTCTTTGAAGTGAACGATGGGAGCCGGCTCGTCATTGGGAGCCGCCCCCCACCCCCCCACCCCCACCCCGCCTTGGTGAAAGCTACAGGCGATTGGTCAACATGTGTAACTGTGTGTCCAGACCATAGACTGTACATACATGTTACTGGGGGTGAATGGGCTTTTAGCAAACTGAAACTGGTGAAAAATTATTTGAGATCAACAATGTCCCAGGATAGACTGAACAGCCTAGCTCTTCTTTCTATTGAAAGACAATTAGCCAAAGGATTGGACTTTAAAGATCTCAAAAGTGATTTTGCTAACATTAAGACCTGTCAGTGGGCATTTACTAGAAAAAAAATTCCAGGATTTTTGTTTGAACACATTGTTGGCAAATAAAAATAATTATATGTGAAGTCTGGGCATTTGTATTTGCTCAATATAGAGGTTAAACTAAGATCATATTCATTATCTTGTCTTATAGCATGACAAAATATGTGTAAGAGAGATATTAAGTAATTGAGCATGGGGGCCCACCTAGAAGACTTGTACCTAGGGCCCAGAATTTGGTGCTACGCCCCTGATCCCCATACTACACAAACATGTAAATTATGGGGCAGATTCTTAACTCCTCTGCCACCATCGCACACACATACTAACAGCTAATTTTCAAACGACCTTTTTCTCCTGACAGACGGTGGATTTTCTGAACAAAACCATCAGGAAGGGCATAGTGAACTACTATGATGACCTGGACTTAAAAAACATCATGGACTATGTTCAGAGGAAGGTAAGCTACTTCCTTTATCTGATGCAACATTTAAAATGTACCATTGTGGGATACAAAAACTCTCTTTAAACAGGTAAGAACATTCTTGGGTTTACACTTCAAACCTGTGTGCAGATTTGTTGGGAAAACCTGCAACACGGATATTTTGACGTTCACAGCACATTGTGTACAAAAGCGTCACAGCTGTTCAGAGCTGTTGCTGCACACCTGCTCATTTACACGCACGCACACACACACACACACACACACACACACGCAAACATAGACCACCTGACCTCTCTTTCCCAGCTTTATAAAACTCTCAGGTCTGCAGAGTCCAGAAACAGCCTACTGGCTGATCACACGTTGAAACTGTGGCACCAACAAAGTCCTCTGATTGGCACAAAGGTGAAGACAAATGCTCCCTCCCTTTCCAGGCTGCAGCGTTAATTTGATGAAGAAAATGCAGTCCAGCCAACACCTGTGCCTATGGGTGCTTTCATTAAACGGTCTTTGAAAGGCCTTTTAGCCCAGATGGGATTAATTGTGTTGAGAACCATGAACTTTAAAAAAACATCACTCATGCATTTGCTTTAAGTTCAGGATATTCATTCCTGTAACGGCAGCATCTTTCTCAGCGTGATGAGCGACTAACACAATGCTGTAATGAGTCCAGACTCTGCTGCTGAGAGAAACTAAGGAGACTATTAGGACTGTTGGTAAGAAAGCACTCAGCTAAAAACAAACTTCTCCTTTGATTTGTCTTTGGTAATTAGGGTTAAGCATGAAGACATTGGAGCCTTTTGGTATGAAACTTTTAAATAATTTTAATTTTCTGTGAAATGGGAAGAAAACTAAAACAGGGTGGTTGGAACTTCTTATTTATGGCTGTAAACTTGTGCTGAGAGAGGTGTTACAAACATTCAAGCAATGCAGGGTTAGGGAACATACTGGAACCTGACTGCAGCACCAGGTAGGGCTGGGTGATGAATCAAAAAGGTATTATTGTCAAAATTTCTGACTCCAACTGATGTCATTTTTCCCACGTCAATAAGTTTGGTAATAAAAACAAATGAAAAATATGTGACCCCGGCTGCACACTGAAAGCATCGGCGGCGTGGAACGGTTTATTTGCGACAATCACTGCACTCCAGTGCAAATCAGGAGAGTCTCAGCAGTGAAGAGGCTTCTCTGACATGCTCCCTCCTCGACTCGCAAGATCACAAGATCCCTCGAGACTTCAATGGTTGTGGTTTGTTTATGCAATTCGCCATTAAACCAAAAAGAAGGAAATATGTTGTTGTCGCTGTTTGATGTCATATATGATGTTGTTCCTCTCCACGTCCAGGATTAAAGCCGTGGAAACACACTGCTGCAATTCTGGAATGATGCTGTGAGTAAATGAGCCGCTGGGTCACACAAGTAAGCTTCATCTATACAGAACTGCGTTGCTGCTAGGGCTGTCGCGATTGAGGAATTCCCCCTGCGGTGAGTCAGGGCAGCTCAATATTGCGATATGCGATATTATTGCACCCCGTTTTTATTTATGTACTTGGCAAATTTGTTTGTTAATTACTAAACTCATGGCAATATTTCCTTTGAAACATTGTGCTTACACATTTAAAAAATGTTAGAAAAAAATACATGGCCATTTTTAACACTTTATTGAATGCAGATCAAAGGGCAGTAACGGCATTCTCTGACTGAACTTAAAAACAACATTCAGGAGGTTTAACTTTGAAATGCAAATTTGGCTGCAACATCTAACAGAAATAAAAAAAGTGCCCTACTATCTCCTCGATCAGCGCAGACTTTACCTCTCAGCATGCGCTGTCGCGAGATTTAATCAAGTGCGGTAATTGCGGTGGCACGTCATGCAGCGCGGTGGGTTTCTTAATATCGGGATATATTGTTCTTGCGATTATTGCGACAGCCCTAGTTGCTGCAATACTTTTATTTAGAAAATTACTAGGGATTTTACACTGAAACAGTGTGTGATTTCCTGTCTAGCCCCATGTTAACTGCAATAATTGATGTTTGAAACGCTCCATAGACTATAATGGTTCTGTTTGAAGCAGTGCCGTTCCGCTGCGATTCCACGCCGCTGATGCTTCCAGTGTGCAGTAGGGGTTAGGGCTGGCAACGTTCATGTCCCTTCAAGAAGCTGTACCACCTTGAGTCGCATGATAACCTAACTCACTGTACTACACTTGACAACGCCATCTAGTGGGCAGCTTTTGTTTTTGAGCACATATGTAGTTATCGTCCATTTATCGTTATCAAGGTGAACTCTTCAATATACAGACAGACTAATTTTAGACCATATCTCCCAGCCCTAGCACCAGGTATGCCAGCTTAATTTTTTTTAAGTCTCAACAGACCGGACCGGCAACTCTTAAGTTGCAATTGTGGTATTCTGGCCACAGGGGGCGACAGGAGCTGGATGGCCATTCATTAACCCTGTAAAAGGTCATTTTAGCACAAAGTATCCGTTAAATTAAAATAATTTAATCAACTTTCTTATAACTGAATAAAAAAGTCTTAATATGTGCATGCTTGATGGTAGTGGGTGAAAATTTTCGGTCAAGATAAGAAGAGATGAAGAGCTCAGATTAAAAATGGCATTTAATCAAATTGAATGGCAGTTTGTTTTCTTGTCACATGACTGGTAGGGATCCACTCTAACAACTCAGACTAACACTTTTCATCATCGTTATTGTTCCATTTCAGTTTAACAACTTTTTATATATTTTTTGCCATTCATCTCTACTCCACATAATCCTAAACTCAGATTGTATTTTAGCTGAGAGTGTCGGGTCGGGTATGTTAGCCTGTAGGTATGGTTTTGTATCAATAAAGTAAAATAAATAAACATACTGATTTAATAATAGACGTCCGTGTCCTACCTGTGGTAGACAGCAGTCAGAGGGATATCAGCTGCTCAAGAGATTAATTAAATTAAAAGTAACAAACTCAAAATTATGCAGACATTAAAGTGAACTCTATTGTAGAATATATTGCTGTATAATTTTTGTTTGGCACTGACTCTTGAGGCAGCATTCACTTGAGCTGCTATGAGTTTACAAAGATTTGAGTTTTACATGAAAAAGCTGTTAGCGCAACTCTGAGAAGAATTTCTTCTCGATTCCCCGAACAGAGCATTCTAGTGAGACGATGACTGCCGACACCCACTTTTAAAACAAATCCACCTTAAAAACTTGTGCGCAAAACCCTTTAAATGTTGTCATCAGTTTTTCACCACCAGGTTTTCTGCACTTCAAGTTATTACTTCAACTTTTTTCTTTTTCTGGACTCTTTCGAGGCTATATGGTGTTTAGCGAATATTAAAAACTCCTGATTAATTTAATGTAAAGCTTAATCTAGTATGTTTGCTTTCTCACTGGTACTACGTCGTTTTGAGTGTTTTGCTCCGTTTTAACAACTCAAAATGTTTTGTTGCTAAAAAGAACACAGCTTGAAATATTTGATGAAGCTTAAAAAGTATTTGTGGTCCAAATGTGGATTAGGTACTCATCAGCATTAATTAGCAGGGAAAACAATGTCATTTTCCAGAAATTAATTTCCAGCTGACTTTTCACCGAGCCTCTGGATTCTGATGGAAATGTGACCTTTATCCCTGCAGCAATGCCCGGGTCCACTTTTCAGCTCATTGGAAGATGAGAAGGGGCAGAATTAAGGCGTTTATTTATTCATAACAGTTGTTGCAGATTATATTGGCGACTGCTGGGTCTAACTGCAGGACATTCACTTCCTTCATTACAACTTCTTGCCCCCTGCTTCATCACCTATGGACAGTGTTGGGAAGAATACTTTGTAAATGTATTTAGTTACAGAATACTGAATACCTGCTTTAAAATGTATTTTGTAATGTATTCCATTGCTTTGCTTAATCCTGTATTCAAAATATTTGAAATACTTTCCTTTAAAGGGATACTTTACAACTTTTAGATATTTCTGAACAATTTTCTTGAGCCAGTATGTACTAAAATGACCCTTTATTTCATTTAATGTTTATAGAGCGCCTTCCTGTTGCCAATGAAGGCAGCCTAAAGCGCTGAACACAGCAGTCTAAAAACAACAAACATTAAAATAATAAGTGATACATCATAAAAAGTTAAAAGTACTACACAAGAGCTCATGTCGAGTACCAGAACAATATCTAAATTTAGCTAAGCATGCAAACAACGACTAAAAACCAGTCACATCAGTTAAAACGATCAGATCAGAGGCCTAACGGGGTGCTGTGAGCCTGTAGTGCATTTTCAAATTTGCTTTAAAAGCCCCAAGTGAAGTTGTGAGTTTAATTTCCAGGGAAGGCCATTCCACAATTTTGGGGCCAAAGCAGTAAAAGCTCGATCTCTTACGCTTGGTTTGTGGAAGCAGTGGCGGTTCTACATCGAATTACTCCCCTGGCGAGGCCCCCTTTGAGCGCCCCCCACCCCCAACCGCCCCCCCACCACCACCACCACACCACCCTACCTGCATGAACACACGCATGTTTTCTACAAACAGGCATGTTTTATTAGAACGACTATTGAACATTCATTTTTCTAAGTTGCACATATTTACATTAATTACTATGAAGTTGTCAGAATGTAAAGCAATATACATTATATACTGTATCAAAATATATAGAATCAAATATACAAAAACAAACAATAACTAAATATTAAGAATATATGAACATAATATATAATAAATAGTCTAAATAGCAAAAATATTTCACACATAACAAACTAAAGATAATCACTACAGCATTGCACTTAGAACAGAAAACACAAACTAAAATTAAAACCTAACCTTGATGCAACGTCATCAATAATGTCATCATATGAAATCTGCTCCCCTACTGAGTGATTGATACTAATCAGAGCCAGGTTAGTGAGCCGCCCCTGAAACACAGGTGACCTCAGGTATGACTTGATCAAGTTTTGAAAAGCTCCTCTCAGCTTGAGCCACAGAGACTGGCAGAGCAGTCCAAAAGTTGGGGTAGATCTCCA